AGAATACTGCCCTTGTCACACCAACATAGCACAGCAAAGCGGCTCATCAAAGAGACTTGAGCCAACGAGCCGACAGAGATCCTGGAGCTCCCACAGGATGAGAGTGAACAGATTGCATTCCCACTTTTGTCCCTCGCCTCTCCCCTTTCTCTTCCCCTTCAGTTTCATGGCTACCTTTCGCTCGCTCTTCGTACAGCCGTTTTGAGTCTGAAGCTTTCATAAAATGGTCCTGAAAACTACCAAAGCACTCTTGAAATTCGTACTTTGCTTCCATCGTCTTGTTTCCCATTCCTGCGTCTACTCTTCTCTGCTTTTCATGCTACCCTGATTTTGGTTCCTGCTCATCCGTTAGACAGTATTATTACCTACGTCCTCCGTCTTTGCCTTTCTATCTCCGTTAATAACCGACTCCACCAACAGCACCGTCGCTACATAGTTTCTCAGAAACTGAACCACGAGCTGCCTAATATGTCTCGTCGGGTTCTCTGCCAACCGAAGAATTTGCGCCCCCGCCAAGAACAGCTCGAGACTGGTTAACAACCAAGCCTCCATTGTCTCGCACATTTCTATAATATCTCCCAAAGTCCCCATCAAACTCTTCACCCTTTTGCGTTGCTTCTCCTCCCGCTCCTTGCCGTTTCGCATCACTTTTGCGAGTGCATACGCCACAGCAGCGAGATCACCAGGCTTATGGAAGTCAGAGCCCGTGAAAGTCCGCTTCTGCGCATCGTAACCCAGATAGTCGATCCAGGGATAAGATCGCTTGGGTTGTGTCGTCAGCCGCTCGTGGATTTTCTCTCCCATTTCCCTCCACTGCTCGCCCTCGTCCTCGGAATCTGTACCGGAGCTGTCGCCACTGTCTTGGGAGTCATGTAGGGAGTTTGAGTGATGAGTCATCACTACCATGAGCGCATTGGCGAGACTTCCAAGCCATCGCTTGTGACGGCATTCCCATTCCTCCTCCTCGTTCGAGTCGAGATCATCGGGGGATTCCCAATTGTGTCTGACAACGCCCAAGAGGCGGATGTCGCGGGAAATATTGAGTGGTTCTGGAATTTCTGCCTCGGGTTTGACTTGGCCGATTGATTCTGATTGTGCGAAAAGCTTGCGGAAGAACGGACGGAGTGGCTCTGCACTCTGAGTGAGGAGACGGTTGCGGTCTTCCTCGCTGATTTTTAGACTCAGCGAGATTGTCTTTTTGGGTTGACTGGGGCTTGTGAAAGTAGACATGTTGACGATATTGCGCTCGATGTTCGATACTCTGAGACTGAATGTCCATTTGGGAAGGGCGAGCCTGCTTCTTACATTATTTGTCCGTCTCCAGTCATTTTCGATGCCGTGACTCGGGCTGCATGAAACGGGTGTCCATTGATCAGACCATCTTCTCGCAAACCAGCAAGCTCGCCGACACCTCCCCGGATTGCAGTCATTTGGAGTAACACGGTATCAGGCCATAAACCGACAAACGGTCGTGTTGTTCTGTGCTGACAAGATACCACAGCAGATCAACTCAATGCAGTGATTCGAGCAACAGGAGGATGGGCGCTCGAAAGACACTATTATAGGCAGTGTGGAACAGGAATTCCGGTTAGCTGAGCTGGATTACAAGATAATAAAAGCGATTAAACACCAAACGCAGGCTCTGAACTGCAGAGTGCTTACTGTATGAGGACTCGAAGGGCTACCTCCCGTCATTTATAATGGATCCAGCGATGTAGGTGGATTGCGATCAAGCAACCACCCTCCACTAGCGAGGCTACTCGCTTGACATGCAATGATGTGTAGGTTCCCCGGATGAAAAAATAGATCAAGTGGATTGTTGTTAACCCGGCACATTTACCAGGTGTGGCTCATCCCTCGAGAAACTCAAAGGATGCGTTGATCCAACGAGCCGAGAATCACTTGTGATGGACCAGATATCATTAACAACCCGTGTGGATTGTAAACTACTATTCTCGTGCCGTGCCAACACCGACATCTCGTTCCCGCTCAGGCCTTTGAGCTCAATCACGGCCTTGACATCAACGACGTCTTCAACCAATACTGGGATATCAAATAGCTCACAGGAATCGTTTATAAAGATCGGTATTCTATCCGTTTCCATGCTTCTCAGGTATTCACTTCATTACACCCTTAACACACGGATCCACAACACTCTACGGGCAAAGACAAGTTCATCAAGCAGCACTTCGAAACTCGCCAAGAACACTTTCCGAGAACCAACTATCACAACAGCCAGTACTGCTGTGGACGAGGCCAAGGTCGCTTTCAATCTGCGAACCTCGCGCAAAATCCCAGAGCCAATTCGATTTGATAATTGGCCTTCTAGACAAAAGCAACAAGGATCTGCACTCGGCACTCACCGAAGGGCGCAGCCAGCTGGAACTGGAGAGAGAAAAGTTCTCCGGTCTGCCTATTAGCGTTCGTACCCGCGGGTTGGACGGCGAGGAACTTGGAAAGAAGCTGGAGGAAATGAAACAGTTTATCATCGATAGTAATTTCCCCCTTCCTCTAACTCTATCTCCTTTACCTGACCCAAACAACATCAGCATGCATAGAATCCCACACGTGTACTGCGCAGCATTTGCTAACCGATTATCTTTCAGAATCACTCTCCGTTTTTCAGGTTATGATGACAGTCCCATACGACAAAGACAACCTAGCTGCGGTCCTCAAGACGTTCAATCAGGAAATCGCAGCAAAGAGGCAAGAGATCTACAAAGCACTTACCCTTGAGGTGGTTAATTACCTCGAAAGCTTGCCTTGATACTGAGGCACAAGGGCTGGCTAGTTCAGCTGATCTCCGTCAATGTCAGCCAGTGGGTTCTTGGGCGACAGTGGTAACATGTCCCGGCGTGGCGGAGATGCGAAGGCACATCTCTTTGGATACTCTGGGCTTCAGGGCAGATTTGACGTTAACTATTGTGGCTGGAACACAAAGATGGGATTTTCTCAGGTGGTTGTAGAGTAGACTTGGTTTAGCAACAGGTCTTCAGCAGAGGAAAAAATAGGAAACCTGGTGTTTCTCATCCTGCTTTCCAGACATTCTGTCGTGCATTGCTGCCGAGTAATCACGGACAAGTATTTACACCAGGAGCTCGAGGAGAACGCGGCGCCAGAAAATGGTCACTGTGTGACGAACCGTTACAAGCACAGGAGTATTATGTTACGATCCAATAAGGGACCACTTATTTAAGCAGAACAAAGGGGATAGATTAGACCAATCAGAGCCACGCCGGGCGCCGGGCGCCGTAACCTACGGCGGCCCGGCTCACGGCGCAGGTGGCCGAGTGGCCGGGGATAGCTTCACCCGGCGCAACGGCGCATACTGAAGGACCAGTATATAAAGAAGGCCTCCCAGGCCTTCTGAATACTGGGCTCTTCAGCAAGCAATAGCTATCACAATCTACCAGTACCTTTCGGCTACTACTCCGTTACTCTATTGTTCTATCCCAGCCCTTCGGCGCCTTACCGTGGCCGCGGCGCCGTTACCCCCGGCGCGGCCCTGGTTGGTCTACCTAGCTGCTTACATAAGTGGTCTCCTAGTGGATCGTAACACACTGGCCAAAAAGGCTCCTTCACCAACACCATCTACATCAACACGTGAATTTCGAACCGATATTTCATTACCGATATCCCCGGATTCGTGTGTAACTTTATCAGAGACGCCGCTGCAACGACTCCGAACACAAGAAAAGCTCGCTACACATACTGTTGGACCATCGTCAACTTCCGCTTACGTTTGAGGCTTGTATCCCAAGAATCCGAGAATGGTTGCTTCGGACTTTGAGAAGCTGGTGTTAGTCATTTGCGCTTACAAATAATCTGACCGTGAGGTGCAGGATGGTCGATTCTTCCCTTCCGGTTGCTTACTGCATCCGCACCTTCCCGACGCCGAAAAGTCGGCATCTCTGTACCACCGCTTACACACGCTTCGACATTGAATCAAATGGCACCATCGTGAACGGGAAAGGATCTTGAGTATAAAGATCATTGAACCCGAATCTTCCATCACGACAAACATCAAGCAACCCACCAGATTCACCCTTCCACAGTCCAGTTTGCTATCGTTACCAACCTGACTCAACCATTCAACAGCATCCTAACCTATCACTTCAATACGATGTCCACCCCCAAAATAATCGTCGTAATCGGGGCCACCGGCTCCCAAGGCGGTTCCGTCGTCTCTCGCTTTCTCCAAAACCCGTCCTTCCGCATCCGCGCCCTCACCCGCTCCCCCACCAGTCCCACCTCCCAATCCCTCTCCTCCAAGGGCGTCGAAGTCGTATCCGCCGACGTCAGCGATCCTTCTACTCTCGGTCCCGCCTTCACAAACGCCTACGCCATCTTCGCCGTAACCGCCTACTGGCCCTCCTTCCCCACCCTGGGCCGGCAAGGATGAGTTGCAACAATACAAGAACATCGCGACAGCTGCGAGTAAGGTCGAGGGTCTAAAGCACTTTGTTATCAGCACGTTGCCGTCAGCGGAGAGAAGCAGTGGGGGAACGATTGAGGTGCCGCATTTTGATTACAAGGCTAGGGCCGCGGGGTGGATTAGGAAGGAGTTGCCGGAGTTGTGGGAAGTGACGACGGAGTTTTGGAGTGGCATGTATACGAGCAATTTGGCGTTGTTGCCGATTTTGAAGCCTATTGAGGTGGTGAGTCTATTTTTCTCTTTCCATTTTTTGTCCTGTTCCGATTGAAACAAGGGGCGATGTTTGCGGAGAGGACTGGATGTGCTGACATGAAAATGATGTTGCGTTGTAGCCCGGTTCGCAAGGCGGGTATACTGTTCCACTCCCCGGTAGTCCCGATACCTTGATTCCATATGCCGGCGACCTGGAGCATAATGTCGGTGTTGTGGTGGAAGCTATCATCAACAGCGGTTCCAAGGCGTATGGAAAGATTGCTGTTCTGGCCACGGATTACTTGACCTGGGCCGAGGGGTACGCGGCCATCGAGAAGCTGTTCCCTGAGAAGAGGATTGCGCTCAGCAAGATTGACCGTGAGCAGTTCATCAAGCTCTGGGGGGAGTGGGGGGTTGAGATCGCTGATCAGATGGCGTGGAACGATGAGTTTACTGACTGGAAGGCGTTGGCCGGCGAGCGGTTCTTTGGGCTTGAGGAGTTGGGGATCAAGGAGGGAGAAATAACAACAACAACAACAACAACCGTAGAGGGTCAGTTAGGCAGCTCAAATGCCAACGGCACAGGCTGCATCGCTCTTGGTGCTCTTCTTGGAAGAAGCCTTGCCGGCACTGCGTTGACGCTTGGCCTGGGCCTTGCGCCTCTCCTTTTCCCTGACGAGGAGGCTGATCATCTCGCGCTGGTAAGCGGCATGCTCGCGTTGCATCTCGAGGATCTCGGCCTCAGTCATGAAAGGAGCCTTGGGAGGAGAGTGCATGGGCGAGCTGCCGGTGCTGGAAACGCTGCGCACATCGTCGTCGAAAACATCGCCCATCAAGTCCTCATCAGAAATTCGAAGGCAAAGTCGTATGTGAGATTGTATGTGCTACTTGATTTGAGGCGGGGTTTGTCGCTTCCGTTGTTGATGATCGGTTGTGAATGGCAGGGAGGTAAGGGAAGATGTGTTATTGAAGCGCCAATGCCTTCAATTATATTCGATGTTATACGCGTACACCGAAGCGTGGAAGGCGTTGTTCAGAAAAGTGTTGGTTGGGACTTTTTGTAAATCTTGGTTACGTCTTAAATTTGCGACCGTGGGCAAGTTCGCCAAATAATCCAGACTTGAAAAGAGGGGGAGCAAATGTATTCACCTCTGTCCGCCTAACCCGCGCGCTAAGTGGATGCCTAGATTCCTGGTCCGGGACGCGTTTTGGCTTCCGTCTTATACCAAATATATAAATAAGTCTAAGCTTCCCATTACCCTGAGGAAAATTCTGTTTTCAATGCCCACAACATTCAATACTACTCTAGTATTATTACTATTAAGTCCTTTATATACATTCTTCCTGTCGAAATAACCAATAACATCCTCAACGTTAATATCACGCCCACCAGTAACCTGGCAATTTGCAACTATTTACTCTCCCTCAACAAGCATTCAAGAACAATCTTGCAGTCTTGCTGACTGTTTACCAAAGGGTGTGGTCACAAAGCAACTCCAAGTTGTCAAGAAGGCTGTGGAGGCTGGCGCAGATATCAACACCCCCGATTGGTTATCTTGCTTTCATATACCTGAATGGTCGTTGGCGAAAGCGGCGAGTAAGAACGCAAATGGTTCGCCACTTCACTTTGCCGCCTTAACAAACAACCTCGAAGCGGCTGGATACCTCCTTCAGAGAGGTGCGACTCTTCACAACACCGGGCTGGCCAATTGGGCACTCAATATGTGCTCATGTCACTGGGTAGATGAGACATACTACGCAGATCAAGATTATGTTGCCCTACCATTACATACGGCAGTCTGTCACGGAAGTCTTCAAGTCGCCAAGCTTTTTCTGGAACATGGAGCCAGCGTCCATCTCCACGGTATTAACCGTTACTCAGCAGAGGCTGCTGAAAAGCAGAACCTCCCTGTTAAATCCGACCAGAGCCTTCTTATAAATACAGCCTTAACGAAACCGCACAATACTGCCGTTATTGCAAAGCTGGTGGAATTCGGCGCTATGGAGGCATGGAACCAATACTCGCACCTTTGGCTTTATCGTTCTATTCGCAATTGCATGTACGATAACGTCTTGGCTGTTCTGAAAGCTGGCCTTCACGCCTTAGACCCCGGTTCGGCCAGGTCTGGCCACGGGGATTTCAAGGACTACCACGAGCGCTTCGAGCACGAGGACGCCCTGCTGACATGCTTCTGTGGAAGCTGGAAGAATCCCTTCCATCCCTTTTTCTGCAGGAAGGCATATGCAGTTTCCCCGGTCACGGGCGAAGCGGCTACGCGGGAGAATCTCTCCCTTGCTATTGGAATATACTGGCAGCGCTTCATCGCTAGAATCCAGACCTCGCACTTCTTTTCATGGCGGTATCCCACCGCTGGCCTTTCTAGAGCGGTATAGAGGACTAGCGGTATAGGTTGGTTGTAATAGAAGCGGAGTGAAAGTTTGAGACGTATATTTACCACGAAGGCTTTACCTTTTTAAACGTTAGAGCCTTAGTTGGCGTCTTAGTCAATTCTTGTACTGCTAAAGCAAAGTTACTTTTGCTAAGGTTAGCCAACAGGCTCAAATACAACGCCGCTATACCCTTGTCAGCCCAAATTTCTACCGCTCGAAGGCTCAACCGCTAGAATCTGTACCGCTATAAAAAGATGGGTTTTTGAAAGAAGAGTAGCGGTACAACAGCTTGGCGACTATAGGAACAGCCAAGACACTAAAACCAGACCCCAGGCCAGAAAGTCACTTCTAAGCCAAACTTTCCTTCCCAAAACCAGCGCCGGTAGGATACCGATCAGACTCTAATGGATTGTTAACAGAATTTGGACGCACTGGCAATAAGGAGAGACGGATTTCAGTAATGTCCAAACTGGACAATTCAATTTTCCAAGACCACAAAGTTCAAATCAGCCACTCTTTCGCCGAGTTCAACCATCCAGTCAATCCCAGTTCGGGAACAGTTTTATTGAGCTCCAACAAATCTCTCAAACATCAACCCCAAGGTCGACCACTGCCCCTCTCTTCAGTCAACTTCCTCTTAATCCCCAACATAGTACAACCCCGCCTGCTCTGTCTTTCCTCACAGATAACTCTGGGAGATAGGTATGCCACTTAGCAACGGTTGGCATATGACCAAATGTGATCGTTCAAAAAGGCCGGGACAGTCGGGGCATCGCCGCGCTGTTGCCAGCTGCTTCCTTGGCAATCACGGTTTCTGAATTATTTTTTTTTCGGATTAGCATTTTCCCCATATTGGTCACGAATTCGTTTTAACAATGCACTCACTGGAAAAAGGTAGTGCACCCCGAACCGCCACGGACAGAGCTGGCTTTGTCGCCTGCGCCGTTGAGGTTCCCTTTTTAATTAAAGATGATGCGTTAGTACAAGCCAGACCTGTTAGACAAGCAAAGGAACAACGTGCAGCAAGTGGCGCCATCGGGCCTGTTCTCAGCGTGAGGCTGTCCGCCATAGTTGATGTCGTCGTACAAGGTGAAGAACCTGGCCTGGACGGCCGGGGCCGAGGCGAGCATCAGGCTGGCGATGAAGGTGGTGAGCTGCATTTTTGTGGATTTGTGTGATGTGGATGGATGTAAGAGTTGAAGGCTTGCGGTTGTGTTGGCTTTGTAGTGTTGGGAAGAGCTGTGGAGATGTGATGGTGATGAGAGCAAAAAAGAGGACCTCGTGGGGTAGTATTTATACTCGCTGTCATTGCGTCGACATTCTCTTCGGGTTGTTGAAGATGCTCGTCAACTCGGAAACGAAGTCTAGTCGTCCCGTATTCGGTCCCTGGTCTCGGTCTCTGGTCTCGGTCTCTGGTCTTTGATCTCGGTCTCTGGTCTCTGGTCTCGGTCTCGGTCTCTGGTCTCTGGTCTCGGTCTCTGGTCTCTGGTCTTTGATCTCGGTCTCTGGTCTCTGGTCTAGAGGTATCCATGATGATCCTTCATTCATGCCGTACCACATTTACTAGGATATCGTGGAATTGCTCATCTCGCCGAAGCCGCTGTCCTAGTGGGTATGCGACAGGTAGTCCGAGATATCTACAACATCGCACTCGAAGCATCAGGCTAGAAGTCTGCATTACTACTATACTAAGGTATACGCAAATTTGAAGGAAGCTTGGTATTGACTTCTGACTATAACAGGCAAGTAACACGAGCATCAGTCTCCAGACGTGTAGTGTTTAGATGTGGATCTTTGGAGAATATTCATTTGTCGTTCGAGTTCTACTGTGTAAGTCGACGGGCTCTAGGATTAGTTTGAGTGGTTCAGCGAATCATCACGATCATCAAGGCATGGCATTTAAGTAGTTAAGGGTAGTCAGCGCGGCACTGCAGCTTTGCCTCAAACTCGGACTGTAGTACCGTGGTAACCATACCATCAAGGTACACTGTAGCAGTGGCCCTCGGACTCTTCTCTCTAGTAGTAGTGCATCTCGGACTTGTGACCGCTTATTCGGTGTTACGTAACTCGAACTTGCAAGATGTGGTTACGCGAGTTTAAAAGCAGAAAGAAGCGTGTCATTCAAGTACTATCGAGTCCGAGTGTATATACCCGAATGTTCCCTTGCCAATGGTCAACCAAAAGAAAAAGAAATGAAAAATCTTCAAAAAACCATAGCCCAAAATCGTCCATCCGGCGTACTCGTCATTCTACATATATCTTGCCCGGAACTCCCAAGTGTTCAAATCCATCATCGCCATCACGTGTACGCCTGAAGAAATGAAAGACAAAAGAGGAAAAAAGAAGGAAAAATATGATCGACCTCTCGAATAAGCCTACCTCAAATACCTGAGTCGTTCTTTGGTTGCCAAGGGGCAGTCGGCACATATGCGCCAGGCGCCACGCAGCGCAGTTCGGTTCGACAAAGTCGAGGTCCATCTTCTTAGGGATCTCATCTGCTCTCTCGAGGAACTGTACACTCAAGCCCACGCTGGCGTGCCACTGCATTGTCTCGCGGTTAGCAACGACACTCTCGAAGCCTAGGTGTAACTCTATGGGGGTCTGTGTCACACGGACATTCGACCT